GACTGGATTTCAGTCTTTTTAGTTTCTCCCAGTTCAGTAGCTCCTAAGCCTCGAGTCTTTGAAGCTGATCGTACTAGTTGGGGCTTCATGTGAATGGGTGTCTGAGGCACTTCTGCAGCAAATCAAAGGAAATATATCCTTTACTAAATTCATTTTAATTTTGTAATAACTGACTATTCTGTAATTGTTCTCGTGAAGAACACATTTTTGTTGGCAGGTATACCTCTCACTTGGTATTGTGAAACTCTGAAAACCAAGAAAATTTTTATTCGATTGTGACAGGTCCATCATGTACCAACCCATCAAAATAGTATCTAGGTCAGAGGAACAAAGCTCAAATCCACAAAACTTACTAGCTGACTATGGTTTAGTTTTACAATGCCTTTAGTAACTGGGAAGGCATGGATACTTAATGCAAAGGTATAAACATACCATTCTTTTTCATATCACCTTCTCCTTGCTCGCCAGATGAGTCCATGTCCATAGGTATGGCTAGAAAAGATCCACAAAGAGTAAGTAAATATTAAACTCATTGTTTATTGAGTTAAGTTTTATTATGTACATGAAATTGATATTTATAGTTGAAAACTTGCAAGCACCATCACAAACATTTCACAAGCAACGCATGAGCAAACAGGCAATTGTCTTTTGTCACACTCTTATAACAGGTAATCAGTCATTCAACGCATGAGCAAACAGGCAATGGTCTTTTCTCACGCTCTTATAACAGGTAATCAGTCATTCAATGCATGAGCAAACAGGCAATTGTCTTTTCTCACGCTTTTATAACAGGAAATCAGTCATTCAAGCAAATCATCATACTTTGGAAGGTGATGTATAAACAGCTGTTGATTGTTGTCTGGCTGCACAAATATTAATATTTAAACAACTGTACCACTATTGTGATGCAGAAAACAAGACCCTTTGATGACATCAAGTTTAAATTTAAAGTACAGACCTATACATACAATTGTACATACTAATCCTACAACACTTACAATGTGACACAGGTGACAGTCTTCCAAATGGTTTCATTTCACTCTTAAGCTCAGTCCAGTTAGGCCCCGAGCTGGACAGTGACATCGAGAGAGGTTTTCTCTGCGATGGCAGAAAGGGTTCTTCATCACCAGGTGAAAATGAACTTTGAAGGGAAAATGGAGGAGTGGGTGTGACTGACTGTGCACCCCTTGGAAGAACTTCCTTGGGTGTCTGATCTCG